TAGATCACATAACACACATTTTAGAAATCATGCTCTTCTTCAGCTTTCTCAGCTTTTCTTTCATTCTTAGACTGTGTGTAACCACTGCAGGATTTAAAGAAACATCTTGAAATAATACAATAATAAAAAACATTTATTTTTTTTTTAAAAAACAAATAAAATGAAAATATTTCAAAGCTCACCAAATGTCCACTATCAGTGTGTTTTATTCTGTAGCTCACTTCCTTGTTTTTCTCTTAAATGTTATTGTTTTGAATACAGGTGCTCACTGTACTGATGACATGCCTACACTGTTAGACTGGTTAAACTGGTTAAACACTGCCTTGTTCTGATGTTTTGCTGAATTTCCTGCCCCTGGCTACTGAATTTCATCTATCAAGTAAAGGGTTTGAACAACTAAACATAAATTATGCAGTTACTAAATGGCATAAAACATTTTAATCGAATAATAATTATCTTAAGAACTGTAGGCCTCTGCGTCCTGACAAAGTCAGAAATGATCCAGCCACCTAAATCAGAAACATGATAAACTACACAGAGAGCTCATCACCCAGAGGCATTAACGGTTTTGTCAAAGCACATAAAACCATCATCTGATTGTCTGAAAACAGAAAAAAACCTAATTCATGGTTCATGGCTCACCTTTAGTCCTTCCAACAGAGTCTGTTCTGCCTGCAGTGGGAAACCTTCAGCCTCCTCAGTCCAGTAAAAAGGTTCTCAAAGGTTTTGTGGTCAGGAGCCCCTTTCAGAGGACAACATTATCCCATATAATCAGCTGTTTTGGACTTAGCTTCACATGATGATGTGCGCTGACTGAAATATTTAACCACATTCACCAGATAGCTGACTGGCTAATAATTCATTGGTAGCAGGACAGAAGACACAGAATTACAGTAAAAATAAATAAAAGATAAAATACATACGTTTGCCATGTGTCCTTCTTTCACTCTGTACCTCTTTCATCAGCCCTTACAGGACACGGACCCAAGTATATTTTCATATGCAAACACAGCCGTCACGCCCGGCTGCCTGGGTCAGGTTACATCAGCGAGTTTGTTCATCTGTTTGTGTTCACTACAGCTTCAGTTCAGTTTTCAGTAACTTCGAAGAAATGCACAGTTATTATTGGGTTTGGTTTTATGAGTAATGTTTGAAGACAACAGTAAAACAGGAGTAAAAAATAACAATAATTATGTGTGTCTGTGTTGACCTTGAAACAAAAAAATATGATCCTCTGTAATAGGAACTAATATGAGCTCGTATTTATGTGTCTCTTTGGCACACTTAGAAATGTTAATGTAGGTAAACTGGAAAATTTATTAATATATAAATTAATAATTATAAAATATAAATTATATTATATTATTATAAATTAATAATTAATAATAATTCAGTGTCCAATCTCAGGTCATTGGCTCAGACGCACTGTTTTCTTTCACTCTACCTGAGCTCACCATCTCAATGACAGCCCCACTCTTTGGTGTAAATGAGTCTTTATATTTGCTTTCTGTAACTTGATTTT